ATGTCGCGATCACCATGTCGTCATCACCGCCCCCCCCAGCTTCACCAAAGATCCAAACTCACGTCCGAAATCCAACCTCCGAAGTCCTGAACACAAAGTTGTTGCCGGAGAACCCCCCAGGGACAGACCTCACAAGATCTTGTTTCGGAGGCGGCGAATGTCTTGACCAGAACTGACAACATGTGACCCAGAATTGTATCGCCCAGCATCTGGAAACAGGCGCGCGGCGGTCGGATATCTGAGTATGTTCGTTTTCCAACCGACGGCTCAAGTTGAAATCGGGAATTGAGTTTCAGTCGGTTTGGACCGAAGACGGATCAGAGGAAGAGCAATCACCTGAAGGGTGATTGTTCGGGAATCGCACAACAAACTGCATCGATGCAACATCCAATGTAGGGATGTTCTAAAAGTTCATCATCGGCTGCGCAGTTGTGATTTTCTCACCGACAGACTGTGTGAGAACCTATGTTTTGATGGAAAGCACGTCGAAGGCAAACCGATGCTTGGGCTCTGTCGCAATATCGCGAGGTCAAAATGTCAGCTCTAGAAAAGTCGAACATTCATGCATTATGCAAAATTGCCTTGCTGTTGGTTTCATGTGCATCATATGCATCAACATCCTGTCACCAGCTCATTAATTTCATGCTGTCAAAGCAGACGCTCAGTGCGAGACTTTGTTTGCAATGGCGGTATGTTGTTTCATGGGGACCACCCGTCCTCATTAATTTCCGCCCAGCTTCACTTTGATTAGCATCCAAAGAGTATGTAGCTGCACATGACGGAGTTCCATACAAAGAGGAGTACGAGCTTGTCTTTGTTCTCTGGGTACAGCAGTGGCTCGTTCAACATGTTTGTTCCAATATCAAAAGCAACACAAACAACTTGCATGACACCTTCTGGCTAGTTTGATCTATGGGCATAATCACAAAATTCCTTGGCTTCTTCATCACTATGGGGTACTTTGCAGAGACTGGACACCTGTCTGTTCTTGGCCGAAATGAACATTCAGAACGTTGCTCCTTCAAAGAAACACCTGGAGCTGATGTTGCTTACTACGTCTGCCAGACAGTTGAGATGGTCATAAAGAGACGAGTCTGGATGTTTTGCAATCAAGCATGAAGTATGTTTCACAGAGGGCGAGACCGAAAATATTTCTGAGGAAGAGTTCTTCTAGATTCTAGATTATAAAGTTTGAGGATTTCGACGACAAGCAAAAAACAAATGGGCTTAGTATGTCTTGTGGAAGCATTGAGCATGTATCATGATGCAGGCGAGTTATCTCATACTGGTGACGAGGGCTGAAAAAACCAGCACCAGGCTCCGAGGCCAAAGATGGGCACATGTGTTAACATCCCTTGCGGCTCGCAAAGTCCAAGCACCCGGCATTCCCCCATCGTTCTGCCGAAAGCAAATGACGACCTCTGAAGTCAGAGCAAAGCCCAGATCAATGAAGCCCCGCCCTGAACTGTGACGAAGCCGAAGATTCGAAGATCCCAAGTCCAGCAAATTTCCCAGCACCCACAAAGCTAGACTCCCGCAGAACCACTACCCAGGTGGAGCAACGGCATCCGCAACGTCCCTCGCCGTGTCCGCGTAAGGCTCTCGCGAAAACGCAGCGAGGATCCTCGGCGAGGGAAGTTCTCAGCTTGTCAGCTCGCTGCAGCTCTTCGTTCGCCTTGCTTTAACTATGACTGCAAGCAACAGTATGCGCAACTAAAGCAAGATTGTCACGATTACGACTCGGTTTTAAACAGGTAGTGAGGGTCTGGTGGACGAATATGGCTGTGTATTGGCTATAATGATAGTTACAGCTCAGATGTATACTGTATACTTCGTTCCGGCTGTCTGATTCAGAGTGCAAGGCTGCGGGGGTTCAAACTTGCGGCTATCAAAGCCATAAGCTTTACAGCCACTCTAGTAGCTCTCGAGTTCCTTACTAGAAAAGACGTTGGTTTGGGCAGGTAGGTTGAAGTTAGCGGATGCCCAACACAGGACGAGGATGCGAAGGAGAAGATCCCTGGCTGCATTCGTCAGAGTTCTGAGAGTGTCACGAGAATTGACACTGGAATCCGCTGACGATCCCCCTTCAACATGGAGTTCGCACATCGTGAGCCCGAAAGGTTTCAAGAAAGAACGAGCCTACCTCCTCACACAAGAACAGCGTAATTAGCCGGTCCCCTTCCTTTTCGTTTTCTCAGTTGGACAAGTGCAGCATCCTGGTCCGGGGCTTCGGGGTTCAAGCCCAGCCCTCCTGCAACAAATCCCATGTGAGTGAAGCTCAAAGCGCAAGGCCTTTTCGTTTCGAAGCAGCCAAAGCGAGGTACCATCGTGCTCCTTGTAAGGGCATCGAGAAGTGGTCGCTCTCGCACATGCACAGACTTTGGGCACATATCTTGCGGCTCATCATGACTGCGTTATGTTGTGGAGCATCTGGCAACTGTTTTGCGTCAGCTTCATGCCCTTTGCCGCAAGATTCAGTGAGATCAAACTCCTGGACAGATTGTCGTCGCGTCAGCGCATAGGCCTGTCGGCCAAAACTTGTCCACAACACACGCGCCGATGATCAGAAGACACCGACCCTTCTAGGGTGAGGTTTTGTCATTCAGGGCACCTGTGCTTCCAGTAGTGGTTAGGTTGAGTTTCGCAGCCTCCGTTGCTTATCGGCATGTCATCCAGCAAGAGCTCTGTGCAGATAAAACTCCGAGGATGTTCACTCTGGTGCAACACGTTCCCGTGGAAAGCTTCAAGGGACTGCAGACAGAGAATGTCAGGCCCGTCGCAAGATCAGTGCAATCGCAGGTCCGTCCATCGATATACTGTTCGGGTAGTGATGATGATGTACAAAGGTGGTGATACTTCTCAATGTTGTCGTGCAGTCAGTTATGTTTTCTTCAGGTCATATTCTATCAATCATATCATCATCCATCATGGGTGCCAGTTTTCTTGTGTTGTTCCGTTTGGAGACTTCCTGGAAACCAAGCTTCGCATTTGACAGCGTCGTTCCCGTCTGATATGTGGCCAGCAAGCGGGTTTGTCGAGCTTCGTAGCTTTTGCGAGGGCTCCTTGGGCGCAGAGAGCTGAAAAGCGTCTCTTCTGTCAAGCAGCTCTCAACGCCTTTGATAAGAGGCTGACAGTACTATGGCAACCATAGCTACTTGGACATGTCACAAGGTCTACCTACATTCATGTGCTTGTGTAGGGTATAAGCGAAATGCGCGTGCGCACAGACGCAGGGGTGGAGGGAGGTATGGGGAGGGGGAGAAAGTGCTATGTTCGTTCACATCATGCCTGACTTCAACCCCCGCCAGGGATGAGTGAGCCCGCCAGCTCCCGGCAGCGGCTCTTGCGAAAGCGGAGAGAAAACTCAGCGCAGCGGAGCTTCAGATTCGGGTTTGATGGTTCAGAGGCAGAGCCATGTGGTTGCTTCGCCGCCACGCTTACGTACGACCTGTGTTCGACGCATTTCCTTTTGCAACAACAAGGAGGGACAGCTGTCAGTTTGCTGTCTGGGCATCAATCTCTGCAGACGTCGAGGCTGACTCCTCCCACTTCAACCACTGTCATGAAGGTTCCGAGACCCTACTTGTAGCATGTTTTCATTGAGAACGCCTGACATGCCCAAGAACCCCGAAACCTGTATTACGGCCCCCACGGCCCCTCAGAACACGGTGCATGTGAGTTTTCACCTACATCGCATACGTGCAAGAGACCTCTAAATTTCCCACGCAGGGCAAAGAGGCGACCATCCCCACAGAGCTACTAAAACCGTGACATTGGCTGCAGAGTTTCTTTCTGCTGCTAGTTTTTTGAAGCGCCGCAGATAAACAAATCGGGTCGGGTTGTGTACTGTATGGGCTGCACTTTCTCTTTCTTCACCACGACAGCATGCCATAGAGGGAGGTCGTGTTGATGCATGGAGCTAGAGCCGATCCAGCCTTAAGCAATGTCTAGCAGTCTGCTAGTAAGTTCCCATAATTTCCCTGCCGGACGGGCGGGCTTCTAAACCTGGGCTCTTCCTCACTCCCAGCAAGAACTTACAAGGATGCAAAGTCAAAGGCAAGGGGCAGACATTCAGTTGGAGAAGATTTCTGGTGAGGTTTGGGTCTCCGCTACAGCAGCAATGCCTGGACATGATTTGGGTGCTGTGTTTTGTGGGTCAATGAGGGGTGAGGACTATCTGGGCTTGAACCGGCAGATTAAACTTTTCCATCGGACCATTTCTCACACACATCGGCGACCTTCTCATCTCAGGCGCTTCGACGCCATCGTGGGTAAGGCCCGAACTCCCAGCAGTCACGTTCTCACGTAGTTCTTACGTCCTGACATTCGAACTCCGGCACCCACACCTCGCAGTATTTAACCCATCATCCGCGCAGCCCGGAGGCACTATTTTTTCGGTATTTTTCCGTTTGTTTTGGTATTTTTTCCGGTCGCGCGGCTTCCAAGCAAGCAAGCAAGCACGCAGGCAGGCAAGCAAGCAAGCGAGTAAGCAAGCAAGCAAAGCAAACAAAGCAAGCAACCAAGCAGGCAGGCAGGCAGGCAGGCGGGCAAGCGGGCAGGCAAGCAGGCAGGCAAGGAAAGAAGGAAGGAAAGCAAGCAAGCAAGCAAGCACGCAAGCAAGCAAATCGCCAAATGAGGAGGCGTGCTTAAGATATAGGATGAGTCCGAACCGCGAAATGCGGGGGCATGTTCAAGATATGATGAACAGGAATCGCCACATGACGGGTGTTTGTTTAAGATATATGATGATCCGGAATCGCGAAATGAGGGGATTTGTTTGAGTTTTAAAATTTTAAGATATACGGTGAATCCGATATGATGAACTCGAATCTCCAAATGAGGGGCCGTGTTTAAGATATAGGAAGAATCCGAATCGTGAAATGACGGGGCGTGTTCAAGATAGATGATGAACCGGAATCGTCCCATGAGGGGGCGTGTGCAAGATATATGATGAACCGGAACCTCCAAATGACGGGGTGTGGTCAAGATATATGGCGAATCTGGTATGATGAACCGGAATCACCAAATGAGGGGGCGTGTTTCAGATATATGATGAACTCGAATCGCTGATTCAGGGGGCCTGTCCAAGATATATGATGAAGCCGAATCGCCAAATGAGGGGGCGTGCTTAAGCTATATGATGAGTCCGAATCGCTCAGCCGAGGGGTCTAAGATATATGATGAACCCGAATCGCCAGATGAGGGGGCGTGCTTAAGCTATATGATGAGTCCGAATCGCTCAGCCGAGGGGCATGTTCAAGTTATATGACGAACCGGAATCGCCAAATGAGGGGGCGTGTTTACAGCAAAAGCGAAAACGTGTTTAAGAGAGAGAGAGAGAGAGAGATATATATATATATACACATATATATATATATATAGATATTTACATACAGCGCTGACGTTGCCATGTGGAAGCCAGCAATATGTGTATACATATATATGTATATGATGAAACCCCGAGCCGAAGAAATTTTGCTAAGTGACACCGAAAAAATTTGCTAAGTGACCCGAAACGGTGCGACCCCGAAAAAAGTTTGCCAAGTGACCCCTGATCCTCCTGCTGTGGAGGAGAACTTCGTGTTTTCCCTCTCGACGAACCCACCTTGCCGTGGTGGGAGGGCTCAGTACCCTCTCCACAGACGGGGGAAGGAAGCCAGGAGGTCCCCAAACACGAAACGGAACAAAAATACCAAAAGAAACGGAAAAAATACCGAACAAAAATCAGAGACCGCTAAGCCCTAAGCAGTAAGTTTGTCGACTCTCGTCAGTCCTTTTGGGTTCATGGTTGGGGGGCGGAGCGAGCAGCTCAGCAAGTTTTGCGTTGTGCACGATGCAGAACGGAATTTGTTGCAAGAGCCTTTGCAAGTAGCTTCTAGTGTTCGGGAGTTCCGGGTTAGGCCACAGGCATTCTGGGCGGCAGTTGCAATTCGAGGCAGAGGACGTCTTGTATACCGTGCAGACTTAAAGTTGCCACTGTTACGGCTTCACTTTTTTTGCTTGTGGCTGCGTTGCCTGCAACTGGAAATGTGAGACACTTCCTTCATGTGAGGGCCGACTGCAGCCTTAGGGTTTTTTGCCGGCTCGGCCGAGGACTCAGCGAACGCAAGATGCTTCGACTGCGGTGTCAACGACCACGAGGTGCACAAGTCTCATGTAATCTTTCGGCTTTCGATCGTAGCAGTCTCATACTGGGCCTTAGTTGACGACAGTCGGAGAGTGACATGCTGAAGGCCCATGCACAGGGCACAGGGTGGTGGAATCACGCAAGCAGGTACAGAGCTGTGTCCATGCACACCCCGGACCCCGGCATTGCAATTATCGTCTTGATCAAGCCCCCCTCCATTTTGAGCACACCACTTCGACGGAGTTTCATGTCCATGTCATGCGCTTGTGAAGGAGCTTTCGAAGCACAAGTGCAGCAGCATTTCAGTAGTAACGTCTCATCCCAATAATGGGTGGGAAGACTGCCAGTAGGGAGTGAGAAATTAGGCAAGCAGTCTCGAGGGCGGAAGTTTGCCAAACTGTGATGGCGATGCCAGAGACTTTTTGCGGAGCGTGGTGCGCGAAGCTATTTAGGCTTTCGTTCGTGGATGCCCGTAGCAGCAACAGGGGGAGCAGCAAGGCACACACTTGTAGTGAGAGCAGAAGGGTAATCTTACTGATGCAGTACGATTGAAGGAGCGACCGTCAGAATCATCAGCACTTGGCTTGGCCGTTTTCCTCCCATGGGCCAAGCGAAAAGCACGGGCTGCTTCCGCGACTGTCCTGGCCTCGGCACGGAAGACAGACGTACGCTCGGAAGCTGTCGGGGGTCTCTTGTGACTTCCACAATTTTTGTGGCCTAGCGGCATAACATAGAGAAGTTGTGATACGTTCGCAATCCGAGACGTTGTCTGCAGCTTGCAGTGTAGGGTACACACTGAGTCTGCAACACTTCGACTGCACCCAGGGACCATGCACGCTAGATTTGGTGCCAGCTTCGAGTCGATGCGTTTGAATATTTTGAAAGGACCACGTGGTTTCGGGTCCGGCTTCAAGGAAAAGAGACCCGAAAAGCTGACGTGTGTGGTGAACAGGGATCATATACATGAACACGAGTGTTCGGGTTCAATCTTGGCACAGAGTAACTGGAATTCTGCCGACCAGCGAATAATCACAGCGGCATCTTCAATCAAGAAGCTTAGGCCGCCACGAAACGTGCGGCATTTGTCATTATGATTCAAAGTGAGCGCGGCCGATTGCGAGGCACTGCAGCCAAAGGCGCTGGGTGCTTGGATGCCGCGGGGTCAGAGGCAGGTTCACGGGGGACATGGCTCATGACTTCCGGGCTCAGAGCCTTGAGATATTAGTGCCGCTTCTCAGGCTGCTGCTTAGAAGGCATCCTACCGGAGTTCAACAAAAGGTATGCTACAATGTTGCTCAAAAGTTGCTATGCCGGTCAAATGCCGGGAACAACTAATGTTGCTGTGCCTGATGGTTCCTATGCTTGCAGACGTCGGATGTAAGTGAGTTGGGGCAGGTCGTGCTTCCTGCCAGTTAGTGGTTTCGTAGACGGCCCGCTGAATTGGCAGACGGAACCGCGAACCCTTCACAACAATCTGCGAGCGAGAGAGAGAGAGAGAGAGAGAGAGAGAGAGAGAGGGAGAGAGAGAGAGAGAAAGATCATTCCTCCGCTATCGTAGACTTTATGACTTGAGCCCTTTGCTGATCTACACTCGCTCTTCACTCCCCTTGGCCCGATACAACATCGGGTGGGCCTGGTGCCCGGGGGCTTTGACCAGCCCTCATGCCCGGGAGAGAGACAGAAAGACTGAGAGCTGACCCACTGGCTGTCCTCCGGCGGCTAAGAAAAGGATACGATCACAAGTCGGGACGACACTCGCACCGGCTGAAGCCTGACATCCTTTCTTCAAGTCAGGACCTTTAAATTTCTTCAGCTAGCGGGGTGGTGCAATGAATTTCTGAATCAAATCAACAAGCCCCATGTAAGTTTAAGAACCCGCTTTCCAGAGTCAAAGTGGTCAAAAGCCGAAGCCTCCGGTAGCCTCCATGAGGAGACGAGCCTCGCGCATCTGAACTCCTTGGCTCTCGAGGAGCTGAGCCCCCTACGCTTTGCGATGCTTTCCTGCTAGGGTCAGGTCGAAGACACGCAGGAGGAGGTTTAAGGACTAAGTGCAACGATAGCACACCGCAAGTCGCAGCAGTGGCAGGGTCCCCGCTGTGTCACCACCGTGGTTTCGACGTGACGTCGCCACTCATTGGATGACGCATTGGGACGGCAGGGCAATGGACAATGGCAGCAGCCATTATACCAG